TCATGTGTGTGTAAACGCAATTTGTGTATAAACGTCATGTGTGTGTAAACGCCGTTTGTGTGTAAACTCCATGTGCGTGTAATTTTAGTTTTTTTGTGTTAACTTCATGTGTGTTTAAACTTCATGTGTGTAAAAGCCATACATGTGTAAACGTCACATGTGTTTAAACTTCATATCTGTGTAAACGTTATGTGTGTGTAAACGTAATGTATGTGTTTAAACGCCATGTGTGATTTTATATTTTATTGGTTGATTGCTGACTTAGCTGCACTACAATGAACTGTTCGTTTGTATGACCTGTTGGACGGTTAACTAGTTTTGTCTTTTATTCTATAGATTAGGTTACCTATGCTACACTTAAATACCTGATTCATGATGGAACGTAAAGACAAATATTTCTTGTGTGAACAAATACATAAAAAAACTATCAAAGTCCTGCTTGACAAGTGTAAGTTACAGCTTGTGCTGCCCTTTACTGTCACTGGTGGTTCGCTCTAATTCCCCTACAGTCAATGAACGGGCGAAGTTGACGGGGAGTCCGTACTGTACCTTACATAGTATATATATATTATATATATATACTCCAAATTCACTTTTCTTTTTCGCTCAGACAGGATATTCTGAGAAGCAATGCAAAATATGAAAAACCCGATTCTACAACGTCTTATGTCGACAAGCCCGTAATTGAAAATCGATTTGGACAAGTGTAACACTTAGTAAGGTAATGCTCAGAATAACATATACACTGATGTTCATTTTACATAATCTTATATCGAAACTCTTGAAATAATTAAATTCCAAAATATGTGAACCATCTCTTCCTATTTTTAACTACCTGAAACTAATGATTCTGATTTTTATCATTTAGACCCCTAGCAGCGTCCTGAGTTATATCACAAACTTGATTTTTATCATTTAGACCCCTAGCAGCGTGCTGAGTTATATCACAAACATGATTTTTATCATTTAGACCCCTAGCAGCGTGCTGAGTTATATCACAAACTTGATTTTTATCATTTAGACCCCTAGCAGCGTGCTGAGTTATATCACAAACTTGATTTTTATCATTTAGACCCCTAGCAGCGTGCTGAGTTATATCACAAACTTGATTTTTATCATTTAGACCCCTAGCAGCGTGCTGAGTTATATCACAAACTTTTGTAATGTGTTGTCTACTTGTATGTATTTTGAACTATCCGGTGATACCAGAACAAAACATACTGACAATATACACATATTATCTCCACTGATCAATTATGCCACTTTTTTTCTTAAATCTAAGTCTTGCCCATATAAGGAGATGTAACAAAACCACCCAATGTGTCACACGATTAGGTTAGGATTTGGTACCCTATGATCTGAATTCTATAAAGATAAAATGGCCTTCAACGTCATTCATTCGTTCTTTGAATTATTTTAAAGTTAAAAAAGGTGAAAAATTACTTTGTAAATAAGAATACTTTGATTAAAAACAGTAGCCTTCTAATTAGAGAAAGGAGATTGCTGATAACAATGTTACCGTGTTTTTACTTTATTGTTAGCAGAAAGTGTTAAATATGGTTGTTGTATAGAGCCATTCTTGATTAACATGATGACGTTATACTTTACCTTAGAAAATAACAAATACCATCTGTATTTTTATTTTAAAGAAACAAGCTACGATAACTCGTGATATACAAACTTATCATGCTAACTAGCGCGGTGGAAGAATGGGGCAAGTGAGGGAAGGAACACCTCCCCCCCCCTCCACACACACCCTCGTGAACTGTAAAGGCAAATATCATTTGCTACCTCACTGTCATCAAGCCGAAGGCACAAACATGACAGCCTAGCGTGGTCCCATGTTGCAGCCCCATGATGTACACAAACCGTCTCAGTACGGATCGAACCGGAGATCGCATATAAGGAAGGCGAGGATGTTACATATATCGCTATGCCATCTATCAGGTATTCTCCATCACTCTACATAACAACGAACACGGAATGAGATGACGTTGTAAGATATATATTTGTCATCGTATGATATGTAAGCTTTAATCAATAATTCAGCTATATATACTTTGTATGCTTTTAAAAAAAATCAGCTTCAAAATATGAAGCGAATATGGAGACTTACAGGGGTGAGGAAGAGGATGTACAGAGGCGGTTCTGGAGATAGTAATCCACTGCCGTACTGCGTTTGGCTCGTCATCTACGAACATCACGTCTAGACAATACATATTTCATCTTATCTCGTCATCCTCTTGTTAGTCAAGACAATATATAAATCTGTATAATGCCGAGTGCCCTCATTTACCCATGTTATTCAGGACAATATATAATTCTGTATAATGTCAAGTGCCCTCATTATCTCAAGTTAGTCAAGACAATATATAATTCTGTATAATGTCTAGTGCCCTCATTTACCCATGTTATTCAGGACAATATATAATTCTGTATAATGCCGAGTGCCCTCATTACCTCAAGTTAGTCAAGACAATATATAATTCTGTATAATGTCTATTGCCCTCATCACCTCATGTTAGTCTAGATAATATATAATCCTGTATAATATCGAGTGCCCTCATCACCTCATGTTAGTCTAGATAATTTATCATCCTGTATAATGCCGAGTGCCCTCATTACCTCATGTAAGTCTAGACAATATCTAATTCTGTATAATATCGAGTGCCCTCATCACCTCATGTTAGTCTAGACAATATCTAATTCTGTATAATATCGAGTGCCCTCATCACCTCATGTTAGTCTAGATAATATATAATCCTGTATAATATCGAGTGCCCTTCTTTACTTCATGTTGTCCTTCGCTACGGATTAATAAAGATCCCCAACGTTAACCATCGCGTGTATAGTTGAACCTTACAACTAATAAAAAGTGACCTTGGTCTACAAACCTAATGTTCATCCCTTGTACATGAATGAAACAAAGTGACCAATGGTGCAAGGTTAAATTTCGGACGTCATAAAGAGGACAGAGCTAGGATGTTTTACTGTTATAGTGTCGGACATAGTCATAAACTTCTCCATCCAGTCCTACACATGACTGATTTAAGACTTAATCAGAACCATTTGTGTTCATTAATATGGTATTAGGCTATTGGTTGGCTCAATTAAGCAATTAATTTTAATGATTGAAAAACAAATGTAATCACAATCATAATCCAAAATCAAATTCAATAAAATTAGCGGGAGAAGAGAGAGGGGAAGAAGAGAGAGGGGTGGGGGTGTTGATCCATCCATCTCGTTCTATATCATTTACATCTACATTTCTAATGTGAATTTTGTACTAAGCTAAAGGTCAACTGTTGCAAGGCTACAAGTCTAATTTGTTTCTTGGTCCTAAGGTCAAGGTCTTGTCAACATTACAATTTATAGAAATTTATCAATACGACTATAAGCTCGACTCGTCTACTCTCCCAGAGTGTGTCTGGTCATTTGATTCTGAGTAAGTCGTGTCATATGATCATAAGGATTTGCTTGCTCGGCAAAACATGATAGTACATTTGTTATTAACACTGAATATAGTATGATCCATTGAATGTAGCAAATTGGAAGAATTGAACTGAACATTACATTATTTTTCCTATCGGTATTGTCCTTGAACTATCCTTCGGGGTGCACGTGGTCTTCTCTTATAATGAAACCTGGAACACAAATCACATGTCTGACAAGTCCCTTCTCAGTGATAAATTACGTCTTGTCGGTAGGTACACTTGTCGACCTAACTCAACCTTTAGATATGACGTTCAGTAGGTAAGTAAAATAACGCAGTGTTGTTTCATCATTGTCACCAACACAACGGATTAGGTGTCATCAGACTGGCTTGGTGAAAATCGAGAGCTGCACCATCCGACCACCCTCATTTGACTCTCTTTCTTGTATATCTGCGTCAAGCTACATATGTCACCATTAAACTGCTGATATCAATTGTTCTAATCATAATTGACGCTTAAGTTCCATTGTTCAAAATTGAATTTATGTCGTATTTAGTTTGAAAAATGCCTCCAGACTACTTGTCAAATTTAAAACTTTATTCACTCACATTGTCAGATATGAAATTGGATTATATACGAATCACATTGTCCGGTTGAATGGTGTAAACTATTTAATTGTATTTACGAATAATTTGATTACATAGTCCAAACCGCCTGTAATATATACTCCATCTAGTCATTTATGTGACATAATTGAACAGCAATTAATTTGGATTACGATACAAGTGCTGAATGGAATGCTTTATTTCAATGTGGCTAAGACAAGATTTGCTGTTGTCATTTCAGAGAAATGTTAAATGAACTGACATATAAATGCAAACGCCCTACACACAGATCTAGTGTATAGGCGTGTTCAGTTTCGGACCAAATTGATACGTTCTATTTATAAATTCTGTAATGTTGTATTTTTTGCTCTTCAATAATGTCTCTTATTCCATTTTTCTTCTCACTAAGTGCTCGCTGCCTTATTCCCCATCCTGTTTCGTGTTTCCTTCGCTCCTGTCCCCGTTTTGCCTCATCGTTAAACTTCTCTCTCATAACGTCTCACATTTCTTCTTCCCATCCCATTTCGCTATTTTTTTCTCTCCTTTTTCGTCCCTCTGGTTCCTTTTCTTCAAACCTACTCATTCATCTGTTCTTTCTTCCTCTCTCATATCGCCTTGATATTCTCTCTTCTCCGATCTGGGCTTGATCAATATTCAATGTTTCTTCTTCAAGCTCGCCTCGCTATTCTATATTCTTTTCACTATTCACTTTCTCTCCAAATTCCGTTTCTCTGTTCTTACTTTCTCTCCAAATCCCGTTTCTCTGTTCTCGCTTTCTCTCCAAATCCCGTTTCTGTGTTCTCGTTTTCTCTCCAAATCCCGTTTCTGTGTTCTCACTTTCTCTCCAAATTCCGTTTCTCTGTTCTCTCTTTCCTTCCAAAATCCGTTTCTCTGTTCTCTCTTTCTCTCCAAATTCCGTTTCTGTGTTCTCACTTTTTCTCCAAATCCCGTTTCTCTGTTCTCACTTTTTCTCTAAATCCCGTTTCCGTGTTCTCTCTTTCTGTCCAAATTCCGTTTCTCTGTTCTTACTTTCTCTCCAAATTCCGTTTCTGTGTTCTCTCTTTCTCTCCAAATCCCGTTTATCTGTTCTCACTTTCTCTCCAAATTCCGTTTCTGTGTTCTCACTTTCTGTCCAAATTCCGTTTCTGTGTTTTCTCTTTCTGTCTAAATTCCGTTTCTGTGTTCTCTCTTTCCCTCCAAATTCCGTTTCTGTGTTCTCACTTTCTCTCCAAATTCCGTTTCTGTGTTCTCTCTTTCTGTCCAAATTCCGTTTCTGTGTTCTCTCTTTCTGTCCAAATTCCGTTTCTGTGTTCTCTCTTTCCCTACAAATTCCGTTTCTGTGTTTTCACTTTCTCTCCAAATTCCGTTTCTGTGTTCCATCTTTCCCTCTCAATCCCGCTTAGCATTCAATCTATTTAGTCCTTTCTGATATCGCTATTCTCCTTCCTCTCTCGTCTCCTACAATTCGTTTTTTCTCTCCAAAAAATATCATACATTTCTGTCTTCTTCTCTCAGCTCGTCTCACTGTTCCCTTTTCTTCTCTTCATTTTATCTTGTTGAACTTTCCATGTAAGTCGCCCTATCGTTATTCTCCTCCCCGTCTCGTCTTATAATTATCTCTTCCCCAAAGTCATCTCTTCTCTCATCCCGTCTTACAATTCTGCCCTCTTCTCGAATATCGTCTTACTGTTTCTTTCTTTCCTCGCTCATCGCAAAACATCCCCTTTTCCAGTTTCCAACTCGTCTCACTATCCTTTCTCCGTCTCACACTTCTCTCATCCTCTCCTCACGACCTCTTACGATAGATGTCATATTGTCGGTACACATCACAATGACCTATAAAGACGTTCTCTGCTGTCTTACACGTAGCACTACACTGAGAAAAAGTACAAACACTTCAATCTATTATAGGTATGTAACTAAACTTCTAACATGTGTATTTTATAACGACTTACGTGATTAAGTTGTTTTTATCTCGTGCAAGGACACTTTTTTGGGTGTTTTTATTGTTTTCTTGCTGAAAGAAGACGGTGTAAAAAAATTGTTGGGATAAATTGCCAAAATACGGGACTTGGTTGTAACCTTTCCGTATCAGTTCTCTGTCTTTGTCCATTGTCTATCTACATGCTTCTGGCTATCCAGTTTATTACATTTTAGACATCCAAACTGATTTCTGGAAATAAATATTTTCATGATCTCTCTATGTACAATACTTGACAATTTTCAATGTGTTCTATTTTCCACTAATCTCAATCATTTAAAAAAATCAGTGGTCCAACACATACTATTCGCTCCTTCCAGTTAAATACCGGCAATAGTCTCATTTTTCTATTTGTGCCCAATTTGTAGGTTCTGTTCTACATGTATTTAAATATCCGTTCATCGATTTGTTTCAGTAGGCTTTTTCTGTTGAACGAAAATTAAAAACCAACGTGAAACTGAATTTTGAGTGTACCGAAACATAAAACGTCGAATTATGATCAATTTTCACTATCATTATACAAGATAATGAGATCGACTCTTAACTTTGTACTTGAAAACCATGATTTCTATTTAGGAAAATTTAGCCGTAATGTTGTGTGTTTCAATTAAAGATTTAAACACAATTAACACTTCCAGTTAAATGTAGCTTATGAAAGACCAATTGCAAAGAAAATAATTTTTCTGAAAGAGGCAAAATATATATACTTTCCTTTTGAACTCTTTCTAATTTACCAGAACAATTATTTAACGATTCATTTTACTTCAACATTCGCATTCAGCAAAGACGTTTACTTTTCCGGAACGCTTGGTCCTATTCTTGGTCTTATTCTCCTTGCGCTTTTTTCAGGAATCTCCATGTAAATCTTTCTTTTGTTGATTTTTGCCATAGTTTTATTAAATTTGAGCTTGGATTATGATTATGTTGACATGTTGGTATTTTCTTGTGTTATTAAATTTGAGCTTGGATTATGATTATGTTGACATGTTGGTATTTTCTTGTGTTATTAAATTTGAGCTTGGATTATGATTATGTTGACATGTTGGTATTTTCTTGTTGTTTTCAAATTGTATTATCTAAATATGTTGACATGAATGTGATTAATATTTACTTGGTAATGTACCTGTATAATTAAAAAAATAACCTTTGACAGCCATAAAGTTAACCTTTAATGTTTAATTGCTTGTTTACCTGTTCCTGTGCTATGCCGACGTAATACAATACTTGTTTTTCTTAATCAGATAAACATGTTTATAAATGGTTAGAATTATCCTACATTTCAGAACACATTCGTTAATCAATCCATAAGTTGACGTACATGTACTTTTGTTTTTACTAATTATAGAACTAAACAAGGAAACAGGTGAGAAATGTCAATTGTTAATTACCCAATCACAATTAACATTACATACAAACGATGTTGTAAGAACGTAGATTAGTATGAATTATCGCATAGATAACCTTTGATATTTTCCATAAATAACATTTTCCCCTTTGTTTGTGATGCTTGACAATGTTCTAAGAAAAAAAGGCCATATTTTCCATTAATTCTTTTTATAATATATTCATAACATTTGCATTTTTGAGATCTTTTTGTGACATAGTGTTGTTTAAAAAAATACGTGCAGGACTGCGGTAGACGATTTTCGTTTGTCCTTGACTAAAAATTCCGATCAACACTGTCAATACCATTCTCGTATTAAAGCAATAGATCCCACACGTACAGTAATAAACGACCTGATTGGCTGATTATCTTTATGGTTAAATTGTCTTAATATGAAAACCCAATATAGAATAAAAATACAAAAGAATAACAAAAGTTAGTCGAGAACTGGATCTGCTTGTTTCTATGGCTACATCACTGACCTGATGAACAGTGTTTATGTTAACCTCTAGAATGATAATGTAAATGTGTTCACACAGTCGTTCACATGCACATATTTATAGCTCCATTCATTTATTGTTTTGAATTAAAATGTAGATATGTTGTTTTATTGACAGTGTTGGTTTATAACTCATATTTTTTTTCCGATCAGATAAAAAAAATCGCGATCCGACTATCTTGGAAAATATTCCTCGTCCAACATGACAGTAGACTAGTCAATATGTTACATTAGTTGCTGATCGAAATGTAATATAAAATTAATATCGCACGTATATATATTGATTGACATATAAAAACCACCCCGCTGGTTATTGACCAAATCATAGACGTCAATCTCATTTCAATCGGATTCTAATAACAATTTCATAATTGAAATTGGTTTCCTGGACAATAATCTGATTTGAACTTGTCACAAGTACAATTTGGTTGAAAACGGAACGAAACGCCTTCATTATCATGTCGTTAACGTGAAAGAGAAGAGACCTAACGTGTGATCTCAATCACATTTACAAAAACAATTTTGGAGGAAGGAAGGTAAAAAGTAGAATACTAGTTGTTTTGATTCAGTCACTATCGTCATGTCTTCTGAAAATACTACATATCCTATCTCCTCTAATAGTTCCTCCGGTGTGTTTCTACTCGGACCCATCGACCCTAGAGAATGGTATAAAAATGGATTTGAGTTCGAGGTGTATGGATATTTTCTTCCCGTAATGGCAGTTCTAATAGTTTTCACAAATACTACAATGTTGAAAGTTTTCGTCACCAAAAATTTGATGTCACCTACAAACATGTTGATTGGAACTATTGCGTTGTTTGACATGTTGACAGTCACAATGCCATCTGCAATATGGTTTTATTTTTTTGGAGTGTTACGGTATCATTACTTTCTACCGTTTGACTGGTGTCGCACTTGGCATGACTTAGCGGAGACGATGCCTTCAACCTTCCATGGCATCGTCATTGTGTTAAACGTTGTACTCGTTACACAGCGTTACGCCTTAATGGCATATCCGTACAAAACAAGATATGTATGCACGCGCATTAACACGTGTATCAGTATCATACTCGTTATAGTGATATTCTCGCTACCAGGATTCTTCGCACTATTTGAATATGCATATTTCCCTGCTATTCTTCCATCGATGTCAAACGCAAACGAGACTATGATTGGATGCTTCGTAGGGATATCTCCATGGATAACAAATCTTGGACTGGAAAGGTATATCGCCATTAAACTTTTTGCACGTGCTGTCACAGTATTATTATCCTCTATAACAGCATCTGTCTTCTGCATTCTCACTCTCAGGAAATGCAAGGACGTTTCCAGGAGACGAAAACAACTCACACAAAATATCAAGTGCACACAGAATCTCGAAGCAAGGCTTACAATGACAACTGTTGCTATTATTGCAGCGTTCCTAGTAACAGAACTACCTTCCATCATTATCATCACAATAGACGCATTCGCCTATATAACAGGCAAAGAAATAATACCAGGGAGTTTAGTCTACACTCTTGCAGTCGTAAATAACACTTTAATCTGCTCCACTGGCGTGTTGAACTTTGTTATATATTTCTACTTCTGTGAAGAGTTCAGGAGATCTTGCTTGGAATCGTGGTGTTGTCAAAGAGAGAACTCCAAGACTGGAAGACGAGTTGGAAAAGTAAATACACTTCCGGTAGTAAAGGGATATAACGAACTTCACACTTCCGATTCTGTATCAAGTATTGCCATTTCCGGTAGTACAACAAGTAGTTCTATCTGTAGGAGTTCAAATTCAGACAACTTTAATATTGTCGTTCATCTGTGAAAATTTTTTCTAAAATACACATTATGAAATAAGTTCTAAGATAGATATGTCTGACATATATTCGAAAATTATTCTCTGAAAAATAGATTGTATATACTCGAAACATTTTGGTGCAGTCTCTAACTAAATGTGTTCTCATCGCGAAAGTAATTTGGTGATAAATAAAAAGGGTTTAGCTTAAAATTATACTCATGGAACTATGTTAGTTAACCATAACGCGTATGTATACAAGAAACATAACTGTGTTCCTTAAGAAAACGGTTGCATGTTTCCATTATAGAAATTACAAATATATTAACATGTTTAGATATCTCAGTGTTGCCCTTAACTTTGAACGAAGTATGTTGAGATTCTTCAAAAGTCAAAGAGTAAGATACGATAGAGCCAACCAATAAATTAAACTTCATCATACAGATGTTTTGTCCTTCAAGGACTTGTCAGTTCATGTTCTTTAATACTGCCACTACATTATATCGTTAGGTACTTATCTTACATGCCCACACTTTTATGATAAACAGGTACCCGGTATGTTTTCAGGGATCTCCATCTAAACATGTCATTTGCTAATATTTTGTCCTAGTTTCTTCGATGTGGAGTTTCAATTATGATAAGGTTGATATATCGTTATTTCCTTTGATGTTTTTGCTTCTTTGCTCTCACAAACATCAATGTCGTAGATATTTGCTCTTACATCTACAAATCATCTTTACTGCCATGGTATGCATTAATGTTTTCATTTATTGTTCATCAAAATAAAATGATTTAACGTTTTATTTCACAAAAATAACTCTCGCTGCAAAATATATCATCATGAAAATGAATCAAGACATTTTTGACATGAATTGTGTTTAAGACGAGCATCGAATATAGATGGATATTCATTCTATATGATCGGTACATACGTTACACGTGTTAAGTATCTATCATTTCCATAATCACACCATTAATTCACAAATGGATGGTCAGTTTATGATATAACATACCCTGGTTACATGTAAATTACTGAAACAAGACTGAAATAAATAGCTGTCAAATGGTATGCTGGATAGTTTTCTCTCTCTACCAAACGTTCTATTATTCAACTCAGACCGTGCTAACGGTTGGATTTATACATGTATATGATATATATATA